AAACAGTCAATGTCATTGCCCTGTATTCTGCTTCTGCAGATGACTTTGCTACAACTGATTGTTTCTTGGCCTTCCAAGATATTGGTGAGTTGCCAAGCAAAATACAATATCCTGTAGACGATCATCTAGTATTTGGACAGCTTGCCCAATCACTGTTTGAGTATGCTATCAGTTCAGCAGCAGAAGAAGAAGCTAGAAGAATCCCTTGGTTCACAGTTCCAGCTAGATATCTCAGCAACTCTTTGCAGCCTGCAAATGAGTTGCAGTTGGTGAATGCATAAACTGACTCAGAATTTGCACTGAGAAAGCAATGTCTGGTCTTGTAACTGTGAGATAAATCAGTTTTCCCAGCAAGTGTTGGTATATTGCAGGATTAGTGAGAGGAGTGCCCTTGTCTGCACTGAGCTTTAAGTGAGTGTCCATGGGCAACTTGAGAGGTTTGACTTGCAGCATACCTTGATCTTTCAGCAGATCCAAGGTATATTTTCTCTGAGAGATAAATATTCCTTTATCAGAATGATCAACTTCCAATCCTAGAAAGTACCTTAATTTTCCAAGGTCTTTCATATGAAAGTGAGAAGAAAGAAGAGATTTTAGAGCTTGAATTTCTTCCTTGTCATTTCCTGTAATCAAGAGATCATCAACATACACTAAAATAGTTGTGATTGTGCTGTTGTTTTCCTTGATGAACAGGCTGTAATCTGACTTTGACTGTTTGTAACCAAATGATATCAAGGTTGATGACAGTTTTGATAACCACTGTCTAGGAGCCTGTTTAAGTCCATATAAGGACTTTACAAGTTTGCAAACCAGACTGTTATTTTTTGTGTTAGTGCCATTTTTACCAACTGTGATTCTACTCCCATATCCAGTATACCCTTGAGGCAAGGTCATGTACACATCCTCTTCCATGTCACCATGCAGAAAGGCATTTTTTACATCCATCTGTGTGGTTAACCAGTTGTTCAAAGAAGCTACTGCCAACAGAGTTCTGACAGTTGTCATCTTGGCAACTGGAGCAAATGTTTCTCCAAAATCCACACCATATTTTTGTCTATTTCCCAGCACAACAATCCTTGCCTTATGTCTCTCAATATCACTATTGGATTTGTATTTTGTTTTGTAAATCCATTTGTGACCCTTTTTTTCCTTGTGGAAGAGTAGTTACAATCCATGTGCCATTCTTTTCACACTGCTCCAACTCTTCATTCACAGCCTGTTTAAAATGCTCAGGATCATTATGAGCAGTCAGAGTAGTCAAGAAAACGTGAAAGTCTGCATTTATACTCTGAGTTGCAAGATTTGAAATTTGCTGATTCTTTTTATTCTGAGGCAGAACATAATCTTTCCACCAGATTGGTGGTTTAGAAATTCTTGTGCTGTGTCTTGAAATAAGTTCAGTATCAGGATCAGTTTGAGGTTCAGAGACTGGTTCTGTTCTGGTTCAGGTTGGGTGGTGTTTTGGTCAGTGAGAACAGATGATTGTTGTGGTTCAGCATTGTTTGTGTCATTTTCTGCAGTGTCATGATCATACTCAGCATCAAGTGATTTTACAAGAAAGTTTGTAGCTTGGTTTTGTTTTAGAAAATTTGGAAAGGGTATCATGTATTTGTCTAGGGATTGGATTTGGAAAGGAAATATGGTTTCATGGAATACAACATCCCTTGACACAAAGATTTTCTTTGTTTTCAAGTCAAGTAATCTGTAACCTTTTTGTGTGGCTAGGTATCCTAAGAACACACATGGAATACCTCTGGGTTCAATTTTGTCTTTGGTCAGTGAAGGGTTTGCAGCAAATGCCAAACATCCAAAAACTTTCAGATGATCATATTTAGGTGGGGTGTTGAACAACATCTCAAATGGTGTTTTATTTTGCAGAACTGGGGTAGGCAGTCTGTTAATAATGTGAACAACAGTCATGACACAATCACCCCAGTAAGATAATGCCAAACCACCTTGAAATCTAATTGCTCTAGATATTTCAAGGATATGTCTGTGCTTTCTTTAATCTCTTGCATTTTGCTGTGGTCTATCCACACAAGATGTTTGATGTATTATGCCCAACTCAGCAAAAAATTCTTCATAAGGTCTATCATGAAATTCCAAGGCATAATCTGATCTCAAAATTTTATTTTTGAGTTGATATGGGTCTGTGCATAGGCTGAGAAAGCTTTCAGCTGCTTCAAAGAATCAGATTTGTGCTGGAGCAAATACACCCAAGTGTTTATGGAGTAGTCATCAACTATAGTGAGAAAGTACTTATACTTCTCTCTGGTACACACCTTGTAAGGACCCTAGATATCATATGAATGAGCTCAAAAGGTTTTGCAGCATGAGACTCACTTAACTGATATGGCAGTTTTGTAAATTTTTCCATTGGACAAGTCACACATATTTGACTATTTTCCTTGATAGTCTTTTTCACACAAGGAATATGTTTTAGTTTTTTCACAGAAGCATGCCCCAATCTATGATGCCAGACAGCAAAAGGAACAGAATTCATTTCATCCTGAGCTGCAAAACAGTTATGAGTGTTCTGTTCTTGAGATATCAAATCTGATCCCAGAGGTTCATTAACCAAGTAATACAGGCCCTTTTTGGCTTTCCCAACTCCTTTGACTTTCTTTGAGACAGCATCTCTGATCACACAATGTGTTCCATAGAAATTCACCTCACATTGTGAATCTTTGGTCAATTTTGGCACTGATAAGAGATTGTATCTGAATTTTGGCACACAAAGCACATTGTGCAGATGCAATGAGTTACACAGACTAACATTACCAGTGTGAGATATTGATGCTGAGTCACCTGTAGGGAGAGTTATTTTGGGAAGAGCAACAGCTATTTTAGGATCAGTAAACTTGCTCACATCATATGTCATATGATCTGAAGCCCCTGAGTCAATTATCCACCCATTTAGGACAGATTCTGCATGATTACAAGACACCATGCCTGAGAAGCTATTATCTAGTTCTTCATCGGTTTCACTTCCCTTTTTTGTGTACTGGAAGATGGCATGTGTTTCAGCAGCTGTTCAAACTGCTGAGAGGTGAGAGTTATGTTACTTCCCTCTATGGTTGGAAACTGAGCTGCAGTAGCCAATTTTGGCTTGAATTTGTTGTTGTTCCAAGATTGATTAAAGGATCTTTCCTTATTACCTGTATTGACAGGATTCAATCTAGGCTTTTCTTGTTTCTTAGGAAAACAATAGAGATACCAGCACTTGTTCTGGCTATGACCTTTTCCACCACAGTGAGAACAGGTCACAGTTGGTTTTACTGGAAATTGTCTGCTATACATTGCAGAGATGTCTGATTCAGCTTTTGATATCAAAACATCTCTCTGACTTTCTTCTTGTTGTAACATGGAGCAGGCAGACTCTACTGTAGGAAGTGGAGTAAGCATAAGCATTTGAATTCTCATGGCACCATAGTGATCATCCAGACCATTTAAAAACTGAAACAAACGGCTCTCTTCCTAGTTTCTAGCTACTGTGTTTAGCAAAGTTCTCACCTCAGCTGACATATCATTAACAACAGGCAATGCATTCATTGAATCTAGTTCTTCCCATAAGCTAGACATAGCAGTGTAATATTCATTTATAGTAAGACTGTTCTGTTTCAGTTGATAAAGATCTTTGTTTAACTTATATTTTCTAGACCCATTTGCCATAGAGAATATTTTTTCAAGCTGTACCCAAGTTTCTCTAGCAGTATTGATATAAAGAACAGATTTTTTAATGGTATCTGAAAGACAAGCATGGATCCAAGATATTACCATAGAGTTGCAAGTGTCCCATTGATCTATTGTGACAGGATCTGCAGCATATGTGGATCGAATGACTGTGCCCAAAACAAAACCAATCTTCTTTTTTGATGTGAGAGCAATCTCCATGGATCTCTTCCAGGATCTGTAGTCACTGGCTCCAATAAGCTTGTCTACTGAGATGGAATAAGAACCATCATTTGGGTGCAAATAAAGCACACTGTTTGCATCAGTTGCCATTATGCAAAGCTTCGATTTTTAAGAAAAAGAAAGCAGAGAAAGAAAAAAGCTTTATGGATCTGATGACAGAAAGAGAAAGAGCAGATTTCAAGAGTCCTGATTTTGCACCAATTGCTCTGATACCATGAAGAGTTAGATATGCCTGGTGCAAGAGGACTGCAGTTTGAGAGAGAAAAAGAGAAGAGAAGGAGGAAGCAGAGATTGATATTAGGTTAGCAAAATATCTTCTTTACTTGAGCTTACAAAGAAAGCAGCCTAAGATAATAAATAGTCAGTACAGGACAAAATACAGAATCACCTACACCTAATCATCACACTGAAAACAAGGCTGCAACTAACGGTATACAAATATTCCTACAACACTATGACAACACACAAATAGTGCAGCTGGCAGAGAGATTTCAGAGCAAAGAATAGGCAGAAGGATCTTTCCTTATTAATAGTAGATCATGAGGAGATAATGTCAATTATCATCCACCTTTTTGTTGATCAGCTAAAAGTTGGCCTACGAGTTTCTTTGTATATTTGTATATGAACATATCTCCAAAGACAGTTTGATGTATATAGATATGAATGTTTAATACGAAGTATATAAATACAGTAAAACTTCAGAAAAACCACCAGGAGAAAAGTAGTTTTTATTCTTTGATGATGCAACACAGTACATCAAGTCTAGCTTTTATTCAATCACATCCTTGAAAAGATAACAAAAATAACGTTGTATAACATCCATTACAGCTTCTGACTTATTCCAGTCTCAGAAAAGTAGCACAAGCATATAGAATACTTTCACCAAGAAACACAACATAGATAATCAAGCATGACATTTTTGTGGAGTACTGATTAATGTCTTAAAGTATAGGGTTGGTCGTTTCTGCTTCAGCTTCATTACATTGATGTGATTGGCTGCTGTCCTTGAGTGAAACCAAGCTTTCCCTGTAAACAAAAATACCTTCACACCGAAGACCATGGTGAAATCCAAGATCCCTTGTTTCTTAAGTGACAAGATCGAATAGGATTAGCCTACCATTATCAGAATCCAATATAAGATTATCATCCCTCCAATGACCAAGTGGGCATCGAATACCAGACAGAGGTCCTATACTGAATTTCTTGGTCCACAACCCCTCATTCAACATCCATACAACAAAAGACTTGTTGATCTCATGAAGAGTTAGATAAGCAACGGAATTATGATAGATTGCAAGACTCCTAGATGCCGGCTTTTCATAAATGGGTGTATGTATCTCTTGAAATGTATCAGTGGCCATGTCAAATGAAATGACACAATCATTTTCGCCCCTAGGTTCACTAGACAACAACCAGTAATAGCTTCCATCAAGAAATTTGCAACACTGATTTGTTCCCAATTCAAACTCATGAATTTGGGATAAATCTCCACAATAAGTCCAAGAATCAGTCCGCAATGAGTAGACAAAGACGGATGCAGGTACAGTGACAGTTTAGCTTCATAGTCTTCAGGCCAATAACATTTAATAACAACCACCTTATAGTCTTTATTGAGCGGATCAAATCCCAAACCATAAGCTTCGCAAACAGAGTCAGTCAAATTGCTTGGGAAATTGGGCTTAGTGATTACTGGAGGGAGGAGTTTGAGCTCATTAGTGACAGGATTCCACAAAACACGTTCAGCAAAATTATATTGATATAGATAATATATGCCATCACAAGGACCACAAATGTCAGATGTACCCATAGGCCTGAGATCAATGGTCTCAGATGCAAATACTTTAGGTGTTTCATCTATTGATAACTGAAACGTATCAAGTGCAGCCATGCATACAGGATTAGGATACACGGCGAGGAGACAACCATGCCAACTATGGTCTTTATGATAGTAGTTTTTTAGGTACTTGGATATGAAATCAGAACACGAAATAAGAGAATACCAAGATTTGCACACACACTTGTATCGCGACAGGTCTGTCACGGGCAGCCTAGACAATATCTCTATCAACAAATCTTTAGGCAAACCACCTCTATCATCAGTTGCACCAACAATTGTCCTCTCATGTTCAATTTCGTTTCTACATGATCGCAAATAACCAACATTAGTATTCATACCAATCACTAATCAATTATTTTTAGTGTCCTAAACCCCTATAAAATATGAGAAATATATCATTAACAATAGAAAATTTTGATTTTTAACCCCACAAAAAATCTTGAAAATGTTTTTCATCACTAAAAATAAAAACTTTAACACTACAAAGAAGAACGAATTTTTTTTCTATAGTGTTAAAAAATCAATTTTGGTTTTATGATGTTAAAAATCAAAATTTAATTTAACAATATATGATTTCTCTCAACAAAAAAAACAACAATTTATGATCTAATTTTGCCTAATTTTAGAAAATAAATTCCAAAGCTGCCCAAAAATGAACATTTAACAAAATATGCAAATGTCATTACCACGAAATTAAAAATTTTAAAAGCAGGCAAAATTTCCAGAATTCAAAAAAAAGATGAAAAATATCACCTTTGATTGAAGGGGCAATTCCCATCTTTTTTCCGCAGAAATGAATAAGTACAACGTTGTAAGGTGAGCGCCATTGCTGTCATTTATAATTTTAATAAACAAATCAGATTCAATCCATTTTCACTTAACCTAATTTTAATGAAATAAATAACTTGGGAAAAAAAATTCCAGAATTCTTACCGGCTGCGAGTTCAACAAATACACATTCGTTCAGTTTTCTTTCTGTTGTTACTTTCGCCTGAAAGAGGGTTTTTGTAAGAGATGACAAAGCTGAATCCCAACTTAAACTAATGGCTAAGTTAATTTAAGAATATGACTATGAACTCGTAATATGAACCCGAACCCGCACTTGACCAGAAAAATCGAACTAATGACTTAAGGGGCAATTCAATAAACATCTATGTAGCCCAATGTACTAGTTTAACTATTAGGGAGTAATAACAATTCAACTATTTTTTTCTATCCAAAAAAAAAGTACATTTAAAAATTAATCTCATTCCAAATATCAAGATTTATAAAACAATATACTCCCTCCTTCCCTTAATTGCGTAAAGCAAATTAAATACAGAGTACCCAAAATGATCCTAATCTGATTTGGGGATGTCTAGCTAGTGAATTTGGATTAGGGTATGAATTCTTGGGATTTATTATTGCATCATGCACAAGCTCATCTGACTACAGTGATTTGAATTGGGATCAAATCTTCTGACTTCACCTATTTATTGATATTTATCACAATCTTAACTTCTATAAATGGTCAAGATTCACCATAATACAAAGTACATGACAAAGGTACATGACGCCTATTTCACAGTACAGGCCAGATGTCTCTAAAGCCTGCACCAGTACAGGATGCCTCTGGATCATTTTTAGGGGATAACTAATGTTTTGCTCCATAAACATAATTGCAACACATTCTAAATTTCTTGTCGATAGATTCTAGCAAAATTGTATATCCGTAACTCCGTAAGACCTTTCAAAAATCTAGTCTAAAGAGTTCTCATATGTACAGTAAAAGCTATGTTAACAATATTTCTTTTTGCTAATCTTTTAGAAGGGATGTTAACCCTCAGTTACAGCATACTAAATTACTCCCTTACATCGTCACAATCATCCAACTGTTGCTACTCCATGGGGAATGGCCCATCGGCCCTGCTAGTATCTACTTGAGCACTTCCTGACATTAGAGCAGTTAGCATTAGCTTGCCAGCATCTGAGAAGTCTTTATGCTGCATCAAGATTGCTTCAACAGAAGAGCTAGAATCTTTCAAACTTGACAGCTCACTGTTCTCTTGCCTCAAGGGCAACACTTCATCAAAACTTCCTTCGTACATGTCTGATTCCGGTCCATAACACCTCCTTGCTGCCAGGAAAAGCATAGTCTTCTGCAAAACCCGCATTGTGTCCTCATCACTCCACCCTTCCGTGATGGAAAATTGATAGAGCTTTTCCCAGTCATCCTGATCAACTGCACTTTTCCAGCAATCTACTAGAAGTGATTTATTGGATTTTCGGAAGGAAGAACTAGTCCAGGCAAACACATCAAAAGCCCTTAACAACAGCTCTGGTGTTTGACCTTTGAGGCACAGTTTGATAAGATCCCAAGGAGGGAGGAGTCGCTGTCCGATTTTCTGCTTCTCTATGTCATCAGGATATAGTTCCAAGATATCTTCCTGCAATAGGCAGCCTAAACCAATTAATGGATGAAGCACAAGCACAAAGTAGAAAGATAAAAAAGTCCCAGATCTAACTATGCGTAAAAAAAACTTTATTCAGTTCCTTAGTTTTTGGAAGGATAGGAAGATGGACAGGAAGTTATCAAGCAGCCAATTACTAACAAGTAAGGATAGGGAGCTGATACTTTGACAGACTTGACAGCAATGCAAATAGCAGATTTCAGCATATAGATGACAGTGATGAAACATCCAAGTATGGTGACAAGGAAGATTACTGAATCACGAGTTTGGTATTAACCCGCTCAGTACATACCAAGGTTATGAATTTGATTAAAGAACACTTGAGAATGAACCAAATTTTGCACAATAAAAAAAGCTGCCTCCAACGTTAATCAAAGGGCATTTAAAACTTGTGAAGAGATTAGATAATTGATAAATTAAAAAGAAGAGAATCCCATTTGACGGGTATGTCATTAGCACATCATATTAAATGGCTTCAGCCTTCAGGTTAGGAAAAAAGTTGTAATTATAGGGTTGAAATGAAACTCACTCTATTCTACAATAACTAACCTTATTGTTCCATAATCCATATTGTCTGTCATCAATGCACTACGATATCGTCGATATGTTTGTTGACACTATGGAGTATTTTTTATCAATGCCATAACTAACAACTCTAAAAAAATGTGTCATCTTAGATGATAGTTAATATGAAATGGAAGGAATAAACTAGTTTGAGAGTTTCACATTGTGAAATTAAGATAAGAACTTAGCATGTCCTAGATTTTGAAACACGATAGAAACAGCTTTCACAAGGATATTATCAACCAAGAGTCACAGATAGAATTTAGTTCATGTTCAATAGAATTAGAAACATAAAAGCATTGGGCTAATTAAACCTTACAAAACAAGCACCAACATTTATCAGAAATGTCTTAAGTAAATATGATTATGTTCTATCTAAAGATACCTGTGACTTCAAGATCTTCAAGTCTGCATCAATACGTTCTATTTCTGCCTCATAGACTGCATCTTTGCCTGCCAGATTGTAAATTATATTGTTATATTAGAGGGTTTGTACAGGACACTTGATTCGGTAGTAGCAGTAAAAATTCTAAACAGACAGTATGGCCCAGTATGACTCTTGTATTTCTATCTTGCCAAATGCACCACAGTATGGCCTTTAATAATTGCACCATGAAGAGTAATATATAACATTTCCAAAAGACAGACCAAGACTCCCACAAACAACTTACTCCAAAATTATTGTCCCATACCATGAAGACTTAATGCTTACACAACAAAGCGAACAAAGTTCCATCAAGAGAGATAATGGAGGAAAAACTAACTAACTGACCATTTTTTATCAAAAAACTAACCAACAGGGTAAAAGACAGAAAATCCTATGAGACAAAAACATCGTACCCACCTCCAAACAACCCATACTCTCTTGATACCCAATGTTATTAAGACTTAGAACAGTTTCTAATAAGAAAGACATTCCAAGACACCAACCCTTAAACTATATACCCGAGAGAAGACATTTTTTGGTAGGACAAAGTAAATATTAGAAGAGCAACCTTTTTGTCTAGCACATAAGCACATCCAAATATCCAATGCTCACCGTATGACCAGACCACCCCCCTCATGACCATATCAGGAAAGGCCCAACTCAGCCTCTCAAAACACAACCATGCTCGTAACATTCCAACACACCTTATATAAAACCTCAAGAACCAAATCCAAGATCTGTGTTCCCCTACAAAAGCACAATAGAAGAGCAACACCCTTACACTTATCAACCAGCAGTTTCATGACAATCTCATAAGCTCACGCAATAAAAATGTTGAATATTCCCCAACCTTAATAGATTGATGCTTGAAAACAAGAAAATGAGAGATATGTAGCTGAAGTTTATGCTTTCACAATAACCTCAAAAAAATGGAACTTCACTAGTAGTGCCAATTGCCTACTAAACTTGCATCCATCTGTGAAAGAATTAAGTTTTTGACAAAACCTTCAACGCTAGTCCCTACCATGTCTTCTATAGAAGTCTAATAGAATCGCATTTTTCTCTTTATCTAAAATTTTAATGCAAACCATCCTCACTCCATTCATTAATTCATAACTGAGCCTAGAACTAGTATCACCTTTGATCACCCATTAAACTTCATATTCTGATACTAATTTCATTTATTCAAAATCCTCAAGCTTGTATGTAAGATTCACATCTCTACAAATCACAACTTATTCTTATTCTATTCTCCAACTCTCCCCCTATCAAACTATCTTCCTTTAACTCCCAGGTTCACTTCTGACCCTAAATTGGAGGGTCACAAATTTGATGTTGAGATCTGTGTCATGGCTGTTGACATGGGTAGGAACAGAAAACAAACAATCCAGGTAGCTTAGTCCATGACATGCATAAAAAGAAAATGAATTACAGCACCTGGTGTATCTGTGAGTGCAGTCCATTATTCAAATAAAGTTCCAAAGTTATGTCGGTCAAATGTATCACATGTTTTGTTTCAAAAAAAAAGGTATCACATGTTTAATGGCTTGATATTGATCACAATCTCTACCTTTAATTGAACATGAACATAATGTTCATTAAACAAAGGCTAAAACACCTATGTTAATAAAAAAATTACAACATTGATAAAAAGTATCTCAAGAATGATCTACTTTGTGCAGAACTAGATAGCAAGCCTGTAGTCAAATGTAGGCCTCATGAAGACACAACTAGAGCAATTTCACTCAAGATAAGGAATATGGCAAAGACTACAAGCTTAACAGCTGTTTTTTTTTTCCCATCCCTTCCTCTCCTCCAATCCTCCCAGTATAACTCCCCCTTCATACACTCATATAAGGATAAAGTTTGGATATAAAACCACTTCATATTCAAATTTCAAAATTGCTAATTCTGAATCATCCCAGAGCACAGATGGAAGCACAGCAAATAGAATCAGTTTAAACAGTTTCAATAGATTATAAGCAATTGAAAGGAGCAGTGCACTTGAAATTTTAATTTATAAAAAAATAAAAATAAAAAGAGCAAAGTGTTGTACAGTGAAAAACAGTTAGTCAAACCTGCAATTGCAGCAATCTTTGATAAATGCAACAGACGCTTCCTTTCGGACAATTTTAAGTCTGTTTTTCTAGAATCTACTTCTGTCTCCTTCTCAGACGCTGAAAACAATCTTTCATCTCCAGAGAGTGTCAAACCATGAAGAGTTTTCGAAGCACCAGAATATTGGTGAAGATAAACTTCATGAAGCCACAGAAGATCCGGGTGATCCTTCAAAAATATTACAAGTTCCTGAGTAAACTCTTCCCCTAGCCTCAGAAGTTTTGGAAATTGTCCATTCTCATACAATTGCTCAAAAACGAAATAACTAAACCCTCCTCTGGGTCCCATGCTTTCATGCTGCACAGCAAAAAACAATATCAAGGTCTCAGGCATCTGACACAAACACTAGATGCAACAGATTGAAAAAGAAAACTGTTTAAAAAGATAGTTTTTGGTCAGGGCCATATATATTCAAACACTGAATATCTGTTTAATAGTTATGCAGTCCCCATAAAGCAGCATCACAGCAGTTGTTATTCCAAACTTCAGACAGTTGGTAGAGTAGCAAACGGATTAGCAAACAGATAAATCAACATCAATATCAAAATGCACAAAACAGATGTTCAGCAAATTGAAAGGTGAGGCTGCTCTATATATAATCACTTGTTTAAAGTAAACAAACAGCCTTTAAAAAATATATTACTTGTCAAAAGAACGCAGAACACATGAAGACTCTGGTCAAATGTCTAAGTATTTCAGAAAAGTTTTGGGATTAGTAAACACATTCCCTTAGTCTAAACTGTGAAGCTCAGACTCAGGCTGATGTTGGACTAGGGTATGAATTCAACTCCAAGTGTCCAAAATGGAAAATTTTAAACATGGAGAGACAATAACCACTTAATAATGCCCAATTTTATGGACACAAGGGCATGGATATTCTTATGATTTAAACCTTTTATTGACACTTCTGTGCATAAAACCATGGTTCTTTTATTATCATTTCCTCTCGGTATATAATTATAATTCTTCTCAGACTCTATCTTTTCAATCTCATGATACTACTAAAATATACTACCTCCGTTTCTTATTATCTACAACTTTTACTAAATATGGACACTTCAAATTATGTGGAACTTTTCCAAACTTTCCTTATTTAGTAAAAAAATTTAATCGAAATGACACAACTACCCTTACTTAAAATTTCTTAATTTGAATTACAACATTTAATCAAAACATGTTAATACAATAATCAAACTAAATTAAACTAAGCATTTCCACCCAAACTAATTCATTCAATTCTCTTCGTCAACTTCTGCCATCCATTCACCAAATCCATCAAAATATTTATCATCATCTTCATCTTCATCTTTCACCATCTTTCTCTCACCTCCATTAGATCTGCTCACTCTTTCTCCGGCGCAATTGACTACCCGTCATGACTCCACTTTCGACAGATTTCACCTCGAGTACAATGGAACCGTTAATTTCGGGGAATTTAGATCTAAAATGAAGAAGAAAGTGCTTGTGCGTGGTTCGTTATTTTTTGGCTGGATCTTTCATTTTTATTTTTATTTTGGGATTTTTTCGAAGAGTGTAGCACAATGGTACCATTGGTGGTCGGATCGGTTTCTGGGTCGTTAGGGTTGTTGTCAGTGTGTTTCTCACATAGGGTGGGGTGATTTCGTGGGTTTGAGACGATATTTTGGGGTGGTAATGGCGGTTTTAGGAGTGCATATGGAGGTTTAGTGGTAGTGAAGGCAGTGGGTGGGTTTCAGTGGTGGTACGTCGACGACGATGGTGGGGTGGGTGAGAAGGTGGTGGTTTAGTTGAATGTGGCTTGGGTGAATTAGTCTTCCTCACTTTCTCTCTCCTACATTACATACTCTTAAAATCATTAGTCACCATTAAAAAATTTTGACTTGGAGTCCGTGTCGAGTCCCAAAGATGCAGATAATAGGAAACGGAGGTAGTAAGATGAACAAATAAAAATAAAAAAAAGATCCCCTTAAAAAATTGTCTCTTTAGCTATTCTTTTGCACTCGCCCACTGTTTTTATTAGACCTCTCTCTTCAGCCTTTGGATTTCCTCGATTAATAGTAGTCTGTTTTACTAAAATGAAAAAGGAGAATAAGCTCAAAATACACTGAAAGAAATTTGATGGCAAAAGTCAAGTACTGCAATAAAATGCACCCAGAGGGAGAAAAACAGCATTGACGTCCTTATGTACTGATGTACAACAGTACAAGACACAACTCAATGACTATTTTCTCCCTGCAAGCCAATGACCACCCCTGGAAACAGATAGGTGACGACAACACAGTAATGATCGCCTCTATAATAAAACCCAATGCTTTAATTTTTATACTCTTTACTTGTAACTTAATGCATAAACTTTAAGATCAATAAAATAAAGTTGATGCAAATTAAATGAACTTCAATCATACTCATCTTCTTTGAGTCATCAAAGACTATCAGAGACGGTGATTATGATTTATATAAAGATTTGGTTTCTAGTTTAGTGAGAATAGGAAAATCCTCTCATTCTTCGGACATAACAAGTTCTGTTGTGCATACACAAGTGAAGCAGCGAAAAAAGATCCGGGCATCATTGCATGTAATTTAATGCTATGATCCTTCCAAGAACATAAGTTTGTGCCAGAGTTTGGAAATCCAACAGCATTTTGGTCATGTTTCGAATTTTCATCCTCACATCTTTGAAGGCCAAAGAGTTCTTCTTTAGGCTGGCCAAACAGTAAAATCAGAATATCTAGTTTTACCGTTATTTGCGTGAGTTAGCAGTAAGATCAGTCTATTACACGTTCAAGGGTAATTGAGCCACAATACTTCTCAAGATTTCAAGTTAAATTTGATAGACGTTGTTTACTACATTTAAATAAATAAAAATAAAAAGTAAAATTTAAAGTAGCAAGAATTTCTAAATTAATAAATTAAAAAGAGCATCCCAATCAGCTAATTCTAACAAAGCATTATCATGGGGAAATTTTGCCATAGATACCTTCTAGATCAGGAAAAAATTTAGCAATGGAAAAATTAAGCAAAAGGAAGTACTGCAAAAGATGCAAAGATTCAGCAATTTAACACAAAATTTTCCACTGTAACGGAATAAAGACCATACCATAAGCTCTTTCAGAAGATTGGAATCATTGAGGTCACAGCAAATGTTCCAAAGAGTCCGATAGGCTTCATGCCGCCTTGCAACAGACAACAAATTTGACGACAATTCTTTAAGAACTACTTCTTTCTGTTCTTTCTCATCAGCTGAATCCTACAAAATTTCAAAGTTATACAATATTAAATCTGCAGTCTTGACACTAAACAATTTCCAAAATAGGAGGTGAGGGGGAACCAAACCAACCATGCCTATCTGGGCCAAAAAAATTATAAAACAGAGACTTCATCACAAACCTATCTTCACTTCATTCAACTTCTACGGAACCCTTTACAACAAGCATTTACTCAAACAAACTATGATACCAAAGTTCTCAAGCATACACCACAGTCACAACAAAAGAAGAGTACTTTCATTAGAGGCTTTATGCTTATAGGCCAAATATACCCAAGTTAATGGTGACTCAACAAGAATATACAAATTTAAGCTATATCTACACTTCACTTAAATTTCTTCTCTTCTAACACAGGAGAACTGGCTCAATTGGGAAGAAAGTGAAGATTTGACAACATAAATAAATAAATCTCCTTGCCTTACCAATTTCTACAGTATTGTCCCACATGAATTTCCATTTCACCTTTATCTATTTATATCTTTTACATTTAATCCACCAAACCTTATGTAAAAGTATTCTTTAACACAAATGATAAACATATATCTAAAAAGAAACAGGTGGAACTAGGCATACAATGATGCTAAGTCTTGCAATAATATTAACTAGATATTTAATGAACAGAGAACAAACCTGGAATCTAGTATTCACAAAGACCTTAATCTGCTGATAGAGAGAGTCAAGAAGAGTATCCCTTTTTCTCCAGTACTCATCTGAGAGGCCTTTATGCTCTTCCCCAAGCTCAATTTTCGCAGTGATGGCACCAACGTATGCCTCTAATACTACATCAGCCAGCACCTCAAGATGAGAACATATATCTGACTTAGAAGACAAATCAATTCCAGATGAATCATCCAAAATTGTAGTCATAAAAGAAGCAACACTCCAGAGCCCATCACGAACAACAGGCTGGCTATACCAAGGCATCAAGCCTTCGGGAGGTGGATACCACATATGATGCTCATTTCTATAGTGCATAGCACTGCGGAGTAAAGTCACACATGCTTTAGACAGTTCACAAACTCGCTGGACCTGAGCCTTAAATGGCTGGCCCACATTTATAATGTGATCCAAGTGCCTGTCCAAGCTATAAAATACTTCTTCCAGATTAGAAATCTTACTGTAGAACACTTCAGCATTATCCCTATCCATCAAAAGAACTGTGTTTCTGCGGGCTCTCTCACCAACTATCTGAATTAGATCCCATAAAGAACCTGAAACTTCCCCGTTGGCACTTGAATGCTGGGAGCTGACTCCAACTGAACGGCTCTGACTGATCATATTTTGCAGTTCCCTTAATTGAATCATACCAGCCAGCTTTTCACCATCTTCCAATATAATTTGGAGAGCATATCCTAGAAAACACATTACGCCAGATTAATGATTCAATTGTCAGTTGAGAAGATATAGACCATGCAGAGTTGGCATTTTGATACCCAAAGAAGAGAGGAATGAAAGAAACAAGTAATCCACATATTAATTAATAAACCCCAAACACAGAAGACAAAACAGAGAAAAAGACAAAGGCATAGCAGTAGTCTTCAATCACCTAAGAGATATTTTTGAGCACAAACATTATCAATTTTATAAAAATTGAAATCTAGCTTTTCATCCAAGTATAGGTTCTATAACTTAACTCTAATTGCCTAGTTGTATGAAATATAACCATGTCCCATGGGTTCACTTTAGCATATTTTACGAAGCCTCTAATCACCAAAAGCAACAATCCAAAAGAAGATAGTGATAAGGAATTGCTGACATAGTAAAGCATTAGGTTAGTTCAAAACTTCAGTACACATACCATAGATCTCTATGATATTTTACTTACAATGGTCATAAAATGAAATTTTATTCCACAAAACCAACCTCAAAACATGTGCGTTCTGATTTATCTTACATACTCAAAAAAAAAATCCCATTAATATAAAAACATTTACAACCTACATATAATTGCAAGTTGATTTACCATGTTTCCATTACTTAAATTTCCTGATTTCTTCACATCCCCTAATTACATTGTACAGAGGCCAGCAAAGTCAACAAGGAATAGATTGCTTTTCAGGCTTAAAGTTAGGACTGGTGATTTGTATGAATCTTGTCTGAATTTTATTCCATAAAGACAATTCTGCAAGGGATGACAGGTCAGCCAGGGAGCTCTTTAGTCAAACAAAGAAAGCAAGGAAGACATGCAAGAACTCAATCAAGTACTTCATTTTCATCCATGGTACACCAATGATAAAATTGGAGAGTAATTCTATCCTACTAACATTACAAAGTCTACAATAAAACAAATATTACAGCATATTACAATGTAAGGAGTCCATCTGCAAATGAATTCTGAGATTATTCAAGCAGTCAGATAAAGAACAGAAATAATTGGATAACAATCCTTTCGATCTTAAGAGTAGGAACCAAGGGCCACAAATCTTGGTAGAATATGCTACAACTTAATTGGTTTTTTAATTAATAGGGTAGGGAGTACAATACAAACCATTGATACAGGCTATAGTAATCTTTATGCAATTATGCTTCATTTCCCAATACTTAGGGCCAGGATGACCAAAATGCTAGGCATATATAAACAAAAAAATGCATATAGTAATTTCAAATCCAGTGAGTGGATATAGGAAGAAAAATAGTGTATAATATGGTTGGTTTTCCAAATCTTTTATAACTTAAAAAAAAAAAAAAAAAAAAAAAAAAAAAAAAAAAAAAAGAGAGAAAACCTCCATGGGCAAAGTGAAAGAATCCACCATTACTTGTGAGTGGATCTCTATGAAATGCCTAAAAGTAAATGAGGGAAAACTATGTGTTGCTTACTCAAAAATTTATGGCCCACAAACAAGATGTTTTTAGCCAAGGACTTCGTAATATTTAAACTTTCTACATACACAATCTCAGTCTTGCTCTTAACCAGTTAAGAAGAAAGAACAATTATAAGGGCCATGCAAGTCTTCCAATCAAATCAAAAGCAGACACAGATGATGAAACATTCCTTACTCATGAACTAGAATAATATATAGATGAACAAGAAGAAAAAAAGTGTAAGTCAGAAGAAATGTACTTACTTTGTTTCGCACATAGCTCTTCATGACACTTGGATATAGCCAGAAACTGAAGAAAATTTTCATGTTTTTGTTGCTTCTCTATTAGTTGGTTCGATACAACAGCCAAAGAAACAATTTCGGCACCTCTGGTAGTTGTCCAATGCTTAGCCAGAGAATCAACAATAGATTTGCTTGCCCGAACAAACGCATTAGTTTCTCCATCCCTTTCAAATGCCCTAGAATTCTTCAGTTTTTCAAGAGACCCATCAACCTGGCCTGACAAGAGATGATAATGAAACAGACGATTGAGTAAAGCCTCTGCTTCTTCATCTTGAGCATTCCTGCCAGCAACCTTTGTAAAACCAGCCTTCTGCATGCTACCAATATCTTGAGCATCTACACCAGCTTTTGCAGGAGAAACACTAGCTGAAAACAGAAGTTTTTTATTCTCTTCTGCACCAGACTTTTCATTTGAGCTTCCTTTGCGTGACAAGCTTCGCTCTGGAGGTTCAACTCCACCAGATAAAACCGCCTTCTCCGGTATTGCCCAGACACCAGCTTTCTCGGTCAGTACAACCCAGGAACCCTCTTCTGTATCATCAGTAGAAGGGAAAATTGAAGCATCAATAACTTTTCCAGCATCATACGGCAGATCAAATTGGTAAAGCATGGTTGAGTTTCTCCAAAAATAGGAGACAGTTGCGGTTCCATCTCCAGAGAGTATGAAAGCAGATCCTGAAGGCTTTCCCCCGACTCTCAATCTCATTTTAAATAAGAATTCCTCTTCTTCCACTCTTGCTTTGGGAATAATAACCTGTACAGGAGACTTCTTCTCTAACACCCTTACATTTGTAAAGTTATTGAATGCTTCATCTAAACCAGATTTATATTGCATAGTCAAAAGAGAATATTGTGTGTAGCTTGAACTGCTTAGACGATCCTTACAGAATATAGCAACAAGAATGGTTATTTCTTTACCACGTTCATCTACCTGAATATCCAAAGGCCATATTCTCTTCTTTCCAGCCAAGTCCTTCTTAATTTCTAGATCAGTATCAGTGCCGATGATTTCATGGGACCAGACTTTTGACAAAGTTGGATTAGGTGACAGTTGAATGCTGAAACATTGTATTTCATGATCAGTCAACATGAAAAACTGTCTGGAAGCTTCTCCAGTCAGGAGGGATGGAAATCGCCATAAAAGAGATCTAGGATACCCCTTGCTCCCTGACGGTTGACTATAGCCACTAACAGAAGCTGACAAGATATTACCAACATTCTGACGCAGAATTCCAGCAGGTCTGCAGATAAACTGCCAGAGTTCACCATTGGAGCTAGTGGCAAGTGCAACACAAGCATGGTGATAGGAGGGGATGGCAGAAGCGATGAAGGAGGTAAAAGAATTAGAATTAGCTGAAAGGCGTTCTAGCCTATTGTCTGATTGCAATCTACTTGGAGGACTCTTACCATTTTCCATTGAAGAAATGATCCCTAGCTCTTCAGAAGAAGCAAGGCTGATTCCAGAATTAGCCCTGTCATCTGAATATATATCAGGCCAATATACAATAGCTCGACTTCTTTGATTGCATAAAACAACTCCAGCTGAGTTCAACTGCTTTACTATACTGCTACTCTGATGAACATTGTCCCAATATATGATACAAAGCAACCAAGTATCACCAAGGTATGCATTTCTACTGCTGATTTCAGAAATATCTGCTGGAAGATTAAGAACCACACATTTCTTCGAAGCAGCAGGTGAAAGGTAGCTCCATATAAAAAGTTTACTTCCACAAATCATCCATGACAAACCAGTTTCCTTGTCCATCCCACCAGCAATGCACGCTTCACCTGCCACAGCAATTCCAATAGTGTCCCATTCAGGGAAAAAAAATATATATATATATATATATATATATGGTTCAATTCCCAACAGGTAGCCAGAAAAAGGTCAAGGTTGTTGTATAGATAAATGAAAATAACAATAACAAAATTAACTTTAACCTGGGACAGTCTTCCGCAGATAACTAGCTTGTTCATCATGAACAACTTGCGGAAAGTCTCCAACATACACAGGTTCTGATGGTTCTCTATTGTCTTCACTTTTCTTTGCTGGGGGGATTCTGGCCACAAAAAGACACATAGCATTAAGTTACTGGAATAGCAAATAAGAACTTGCAACACTACCTCTGTCCTAACTTCAAACAGGCAATGATAATGCAGGTTAATTCAACAGCAGAGAAATACCACTTCCTTTTTTTTAGATGCATGACATGCATCACTTTAGGAATCGCGGACTCCTAGGCAATTTTCGGAGATGAGAGAGAGAGGAGAAAGGGGACCCATGTGGTAGGAGAGAGATAGAGAGAATTTATAAACTAAAATGGAATGTAATTAAAACTTCCATGTTTAGAAAGTGATGCATATAGAAAAAGGAGGAAGTAGATAAGAATATGCTGAAGAAGGATTGAACTCAAAATGCCTCAACATACGAGCCTTTAAACAAATAAGTTTCCCTTCTATAAGCTAAATGATTATTCTACATTTAATAAAGCATATCATCTAAAGTGAGTCCAGCTATAATAACTGCTTCAAGATACAAGCCCCTTCATTAGACCTGCTTCCATGACATGATTGACACCAATTATAGTTTTTTTAGCAAGTGGTCAATTCTTCATTAGAATTTCTAAAGATGCACAACTCTACACAGCCACAGAGATGATTCCCTATTTCAAGGATCAAAAGGATTAATAAGGTTAGAAAAGACATGAGGCTGAAATTACTGTGATTGCTGCGAATGAACAGAACATGCTTTTCAACTTTTGTGATGCTCATCTTCAGCTCAAAAGTCTATTATCTAAAGCACAGATATTGAAAGTTGATTTTTTAAGTATCGTTACCCTTGTGTCTATCTTGTAAATGCTGTCCCTAATCCCAATTTCTATAAATTAAAAATTTTCAACATGTGACTCTCAAGTCCAATACTCAATACTGAATCTGAGTATCATACCTAAAAGTCATCAGGCATTCTCAATTATACAGCTTATTTCAAACAGGATACAATTCAGCATGAACGGCAAGAATACTCCCAAAAAAGCCAAAGATTTAAAATATAATAGGAAGAAATTATCAGACAATATTTCTAACACTGATCTTTGTTCAGAATCTAGTCACCATTGAGTACATGTATTAGCACAATACATTCTACGATTGTGAACAGTACAATAGGAAAAGGCTTCCAACATGGATAGGGCATATAATTATAATCAAATACTACCTCCAATTTTTTTTAGTTGCAACTTTGGGGTATTATCTAAGAGATATAAAATATTTCAAAGTTGCAACTAAAAAAAATCGGAGGTAGTATTAATTGAAAATGCAAAATATATGAGATATGAAATTCAACAATTGCATCGCCTTTCTCTAACGTGCAGTTTAAGTAACAGCATAAAAAGTTTGAAAGTTGAACAATTCATGACATACCGAGTTGCAAACTAATTCAGCATATCTACAGAATTTCCATCAAAACCCCAATTCCATTGCAGCATGCAATGCCAACCCAACCCCATTCCCCCAACACATAGTTCAGCTTTTCCAAATTGTAATATACTAGTAAGTAGTAATCACGCTCATTTCCGAAGCATCAATATACAATTTTTCTCAAACGGGTCCAAACGAAACGCAATACCCTTAACCAATTCAAAATTTCAAACATGAATACAGTAATCTATAAGCACCAATTAATAGACATTATAACACCAATTATAGTAATCTCCTGTCATTACCAATACTATAACATTTGCATTACAATAACCAACAAAACAACCAAAAGCACACTAATTTGCAAGTTAAAAATCTACCAATTTTCCAATAATCAAAGCAAATACTAACAACATGATTAAAAGATATAATAAAATCTACTAAAAATCATAAATAAAAGAAATTAGAAGGAACCTGGCAAGAACAGAAAGGCGAGAAGCCCAAGGAGCAGGAGTGCCAGTATTGGGGCGATTAGGGATTGAACCGTCGGCAATCGAAGTGCGATTAGGAGTAATTGGAGAAGAATCGAAGGAAAGCGGCTTAATCTGGGCGACATTATGATCTTTGGAACTTCTGTAACTGGATTTCTTCCTGGTAGAAGTAGCAGGTGAGAACATTTTTGGGGAAGATCGAATTACAGAGAAATTGAGGGTGTGAAATTAAGGGGGGAAAAGGGGGGTTTATTGGAGGTTTTTAGAATTTTAGGGTTTATGCGTTGTGAAATGGAGCGTAATTTCAAAATGGGAGTAAGATTTTAGAGTGAGTTTCATAATCTTTTTCGATTTTCTGTCAACTTCTACTCTTCTAGTTCAACTTATGTTCAACTTATGTTCAACTTAAGTCCAATACTATGCTCCATATCATAAACTAGGGGTGGCAAAAACTGACCCGACCCGAAAACCCGACCTGAACCCGACCCGAAAACAGCGGGTTAGGGTTGAGAATTTCGACACGAAAACTTAAATGGGTTGACACGAACCCGACCCGAAATTAAATGGGTTAGGTTAAGGTTGAAAATTTCAACCCGAAAATGACCCACGTAACCCGAAATTATTTTCGGGTCAAAATCAAGTCGGGTCAACCCGAACCCGACCTTATAACCCGAAAAAGTCTTTTTAAAAAAAATATATATATATGGCATTATTATGGCCCAACCAACTAACCAAGCCCAACTGCCCATTGCCCAAGCCCAAAAGGAACTATAAAACACTAAAACCCTAAAATTTTCATCAGCTGATCAGCCGTTTTCATCATTTCATCTTTTTTCATTTTCTCTCTCCTCAAACAGTCAAACCTCAATTCTTTCTCTCGTCACTCCTCTAATCCTCTTCTTCTGTCTTCTTCGCTGAGTTCACTCCTCTTCTTCTGTCTTCTAATCTTCTTCTCTGAATTCTGTCTTCTTCTGTTTCAAAGGTAATTTCTTGTTAATTTGTTTTCGTTTCGTTTCGTTTTGTTTTTTTGTTTTGTTTTCGTTTATTTTCTGAAGTTCTTCTTTCGTTTTTTTCGATTTTTGCTTTCGATCTCCAGTTCTCCATCTTCAAAGCTTCCTCTCCTTCAAGTCGTCAAAACTCAAAACTCAAGGTAATTTTCTGTTCTTGTTGTCCTGGTTTCGTTTCTTTTTTTTGTTTTTTTTTAAATACAGTATTTTCGTTTTTTTAAATACAGTTTTTGATTTTTGATTTTTGCTTTCGAATTTTCGGTCTCTGTAAGAATTTTCGAATTTTTGCTTTCGAATTTTTGCTTTCGGATTTTCGAATATTCGTTTTTTTAATTTCCACTGTTGATTTTTTTTTTTTTACGGGAAAGGGTAGATCTGTAACTCTGTAAGACCATCTGTTGCTGATTTGTTGTTTGACGGGAAAGGGTATTTTGCATGTGAATTTTTTTTTTATTTTTAGTTTTGATTTATTTTGTTGTTCACATAATTCTGATTTATTTATACTGTTGTTCTTGTTCATATAATTTATGATTTTTAGGTTTAATTTATATTGTTCATATAATTTGAGTGCTTTTGTACATGTAATAATCTATTAATCTGTATGTTTGAGTCTTTTTGTATATGAAGATGCTGATGTTCATATCAGTTGTAGTGTATATGTAGATATATTGATCAAGTGGTTACATGTAATTATTACTTACTTGTGTGTAAGGCTGATTAGATGTGTAATTTAATGTATTAAACTTTTAATGCTCTTTTTGATAGTGGTCTTTAGCTTTTACTCATATTAGTGCCTTAGTGGTCTTGTAGAGTTATACACTTATACTTAATATAGTGTTAATTTAATTTTTATTTTAATCTACTTCATATAATAAGATATTCACACAGAAAGTTAGTACCTTGATTGCAACTCACGACATTTGAGTCGATCACATTCTTAGTTCTTAAGAAGGTACGATATTAATCAATAAGACTTCTGATCTTGTGAGCAATCTGAGCATGGAGTATGGATATTAGATATTCTTGCATTTAACTTCCTTTTTAATTTCAATCTCCATATCTTTCATGTCAAGTTGTATCTTTTTCTTTATGTGTTTCTAATTATATCTTTTACTAATTACTATTAGATCAGGTTTTGTCTCTTGTTTTAAATGTTTTATTTTGTTATAATTTTTGGCAGAAATAATGGACACCCATGTTCACCAGCTTTCTTCCGGGGAAGAGGAGGAGATTGACTCTACAATAAAAGACAAAGGAAAGGGTAAAAACCAGAACACTTCTTCTGATAAACCTCGTTTGATTCTTACTGGTAAGAAACGTCCACGTCGTCTTTCTTCTGGTGTTTGGGTGCATTTTGAGTTTTTAGATGAGCCTGATGAAAATGGTAATCTGATTTGCAAATGTAAAAAGTGTGGTTTACGTTTTAATGGTGATAGTAAGAATGAAACTGGGAATCTTCATCGTCATTTGAAAAATTGTAAACAAAGGTCTTTTAGGGATGTTGGTCAAATGATATTAGAGAAAACATCCTCTGGTTTAGGAAATAGATTGCCTGATTTTGATGCTGGTTATTTCCGTGAATTATTGTCTATTGCTATTGTGGAGCATGATATGCCATTTCAGTTTGTAGAGTTCAAGGGTTTTAGGAGATGTTTTAATTATTTGCATCCTGATTTCAAACCTGTCACTCGAAACACTATCAAATATGATGTGCTTAAGATGTATAAAAGAGAGAAAGAGAAATTAAAAGCGGTTTTGGGCTCAACTTGTAGTAGAATTGCATTGACTTCTGATTGTTGGACTTCTTTAACCACCGATGGTTATATATCATTAACAGCTCATTATGTTGACAATTCTTGGTGTTTGCAAAAAAAGATCTTGAACTTTTCTTACATTGGTCCTCCCCATACAGGAATTCATTTATGTGATCATGTGTATGGTTTGTTAAAGGAATGGGGTATTCAGAAAAATATTTTTTCAATTACATTAGATAATGCTTCTTCAAATGATGTTTTTGCTGAAAATCTAAAAGGGGAACTTGAGTTGATTAATGGTGGGGAATTTTTTCATGTAAGGTGTTGTGCTCACATTCTTAATTTAATTGTTCAAGATGGTTTAAAAGAGATTGATGCGGCTGTGTATAAGATTAGAGAGAGTGCCAAGTATTGTAAGAGTTCACAAGGTAGGAAACAAAGGTTTTTAAGTTGTGTAGCACATGTTGAAATTCAATCTACTAGAATTTTACAACAAGATGTTCCTACTAGATGGAATTCAACTTACATGATGCTTGATTGTGCTTTGTATTTTAAAAAAGCTTTAATTCATTTTCAAAAAGTTGATGCCAATTATGTGCATTGTCCTTCTGCGGAAGAATGGGGTAGAATTGAGAAAATATGCAAGTTTTTGAAAGTTTTCCATGATGTCACACTTGCCTTTTCCGGGACCAAATATCCAACTTCCAATCTCTACTTTCATAGAGTCTTGCAGGTTAGGTTGTTGTTACAAAATGAAATGAAAAGTTCAGATCTTTTTATGCAAAAAATGGCTTGTAAGATGTATGAGAAATTTGGAAAATATTGGTCAGAATTTAGTACATTTATGGTTGTTGCTGTGGTGTTGGATCCACGATATAAGTTGCAATGTGTCAATTGGGGTTACATGAGGATATATGGTTAGCATAGTATTGAATACGAGCTTGAGTTCTCTAAGGTTAAGGATGCTCTACGGAGGTTATACGAGGCTTATGAATCTACTCATTCTTCATCAAGCAAAGCTATTCCCACTACTAATGCTTCCAATGAAGCTTCTGATGATTTTATGATGGTAAACAAACTTTCTGATGCATTGACCTATATTGCAAGTGAAACAAATGCCAAGTTTTAATGATTGAGTAGCAAATCCTTATATAACTCAGCAGCTTTTAGTTTGCATCTTTATTTATAATCTGATTTTTATTTTCTGATTTTTTGTGTCATCTAATCTGATTTTTATTTTCTGATTTTTATAATCTGATTTATATTTTCTGATTTTTTGTGTCATCTAATCTGATTTTTATTTTCTGATGTAATCTAAATCTTGGTATATAGGATTTTGATAGTTTCTCTCAAGAGCAATCAAGTGTGGCAATCAAATCTGAAATTGATATGTATTATGAGGAGCCACTTATCCCTCGAGGCACCAACCTTGATATTTTGTCTTATTGGAGAACTTGTTCGGTCCGCTATCCTGTATTAGCTAAAATTGCTAAGGATGTTCTTGTTGTCCCCGTATTAACCGTGGCCTCCGAATCAGCTTTTAGTACTGGAAGTCGGGTGATTGATTGTTATAGAAGTTCTTTAAAATCAGAAACGGTGGAAGCTATCATTTGCTTAAGGGATTGGGCCTTTGGGGAAGGTAATAAATGATTTTTTATACAAGTAATGAAGTAATACAATACTTCTAACTTTTATTTTTAGTACATGTCATACATTATTGATTGTAATTTGCTATTGTTTTTCTTGTAGCAAATATGGATCCTCAAATGGAAATGCTATGTGGATCAGTTATGAAGCTTAAGGTGGAGGACAACAACGACAATCATGACACACCACGTTCCTCGCCCGAACTTGAACAATTTGATGAGAATGCTTCTTCGAACATTGTTTGATCATTTCTGATTTTTTAAAAAACATTTATTTCTTTTTAATTGTGGTTTGTAATTTGTTTAAGACTAATTTTGTTATGTAATAGTTAATTAGGTATTTAGACTTGTTAGACTTTATTTGGTTTTCTACTTTTCTTAAAATCTTTAAGTTTGGAAATCATGTTTGAAAACATTAGGTAAAAAAAAAAAACAGGTTCTTGGTACAAAATCAGGCTGAAAAAAAAACAAGTTCTTGGTACAAAATACATTCTGTTAATTGGTACAAAATCAGGCTGAAAAATCAGGTTATTAAAGTCAAAAAGAAAATTTAAAAAAATAAAATAAAAAAATCAGGTCAAATCAGGTCGTTTTCAGGTTGACCCGAACCTGAAAATATCAGGTTCAGGTTGGGGTTTTCAACCCGAAAACTTAAATGGATCAGGTTCAGGTTAGGATTTAGCTGACACGAAACCCGAAAACCCGAACACGAACCCGACCTGACCTGATCCGTTTGCCACCCCTATCATAAACCTATCAATGAACCTAAAAATGGTGCTTAGCTTAAGTCTAATTAATTAGGACCCGTGTGAATAAGGGACGTCAGTGGGGCAGTTTAAGTAGGAGACCCGTCCATCCCCGCCCCACATATGATTAGGGATGTCAGTGGGACGGGTTAAGTAGGAGACCCGCCCATCCCCGCCTCAGTGGGGCGGGATGGCTTTCGGTTTGGCAGGTGGTGGGGCGGGGATGGGGATAAAAACCATACCCGCCATGGGCGATAAGGCGGGGATGGATTTTAAGTTGTACCCGTCCCGCCGCACTTCTTATCTGTCCCATCCCTAGTTCCCTACCTCATACCCATATTTATATATTTTTAAAAGCAAAATTATATATTTTTATACTATTTTATAAAATAATTACGTGAAATAAAATATTAATTATAATACTTCATACTACTACTATTATTATAATCATTAAATGTTATTATTAAATATTAATTATTATTATAATCATTAAATATTATTATTATAATAATTATTATTATTATCTAATTATAATTTTTATTATTATTATTAATAAATTAATAATTAGTATTATATTTAAATATTATTTTTTATTATAAAACATCTATTCATTACTATTATTATTATTATTAAATATTATTTATTATTATTATAATTATTAAATATTAATTATTATTATTATTACTAATACTACTACTACTACTACTATTATTACTATTATTAATATTATCGCATTATTATTATAATAATTAAATATTATTATTAAATATTAATTATTATTATTATTATTATAAAAACTATTAAATATTTTTTAATTATTATTTTTATTAAAAAATTAATAATTATTACTACATTTAAATATTAGTTACTATATTTAAATATTAATTTTTATTATAATTATTATTATTATTATTATTATTATTATTATTAAGTATTATTATTACTATTATTATCATTATTTTTATTTGAGAAAATATCATCATCATAATCATCATCATCATTATTATTATTATTAAATATAAATTATTATTATAATTATTAAATAATAATAATAATTATTATTATTATTATAATTATTAAATATTAATTATCTATTATTATTAGATATTCCTTTTTATTAATATTATTATTATTATTAAATATTAAATATTTATTATTGTTATTATTAAATATTAATTTTTCATATTATTATTAAATATTAATTATTTATTATTATTATTAAATATTAATTATTTATTATTATTATTATTATTAATAAATATTAATTATTATTATAATAATTTAATATTAAGTATATATTATTTTTAAGCAGAGTAGATGGAAGCAGAGGAGAGCATATTTCAGCAAAGCAGAGCAGAGTAGAGTAGAGCAGCTCTAAAGAACGGGGCCTTATATTATAAACAAAAATGTGTGTAATATTAAAAAAAATTTATTATTATTATTGTAATTTGTATTAATCATGTAAGATTGTGTATTGAGAGACGGTGATTTGGTTGGAATTAGGCGGGTTTTTGGTGAGGATTGGGTGGGGATGGATATCCAAGTGGGGGGTGGGACGGGAATGGTTTTGGAGTTGTACCTAACGGGGATGGGGATGAATATTGGACCTATCGTGGGGATGGGGATGGGTGGGGATGGGGATGAAAATGTTAGGAGGGATGGGGATGGGAATGCCAACATCCGCCCCGCCCCGCCTCATTGACATCCCTACTTGTAATGCCTAGATGTTAACTCTATAGAGTCTATAAATTTAGGTTAAAAATGATGATATTGTAAAAATATAGGGAGGCGATGAAAATTAAAACCACAAAATGGTAATTTTTTGGGATTTGTTAAACATCGTCCACAAATTACTACATAAAGCCCACAAAATTCACTTGGTTTGACAATATTGCCCTTAACCTAAAAAAAAACACTCACACTCTCATCACTCACACTCTCATCGCTCATCTTCTTTGAACCTCTCTAAAAAAAAATTTCAAACAACGGCAATGTCGAGGCGGCAAGGCAAGGAATTGGCGGCGGCGGCGGAGGGAAGGAGGTCCCAAGGAGGCAAGGTACAATTTGTAAAAAAAAAAAAAAAAAAAAAAAACGGAAAAACCGCCGTGACGGAGGCGGGGCGCCCTGGCTGGACGCCCAGCAAGCGGTGGTGGCGCCAGCTGCAGACGCCGCAAGCAGTAGGCTGGCGCCTGGGCTGGACGCCATAGCCCACTGGTGGCGGCGTCTGCAGCTGGCGCCACCACTGCTGGCTGGGCGTCCAGCCAAGGCGCCCCCCCCCTTTTTTTTTTGAAATAAAATATTGTTTTTTTTTTGTGTAATATATTTTTGAATTGTTTTTATATTTTGTTGTTTATTTTTATAAATTTTTTCAATTTTGTCATATTTTTTCTATGTTTATATTTTGTTTACAATTATTTGTATGGTTTTAGTTTATTTGATTTGGGAGTGGTAGCTATTTTTCGTATAAATTTTTGTATGTTTATATATTTTAAAATTTTGTGTAGAATTCACTGGGTCGTTATGGTGCGGGGAAGAATGTAGAGCTTCTTAGTAGAAGCTATCCAGTGGAGAGGTCGGGGCATAGACATGTCAGATCCCGTGGTATTTCGGCCTCAGCTCGTAGAGAACGGATCCACCGTCGGGATGAGGATGACGATGACGATGATGATGCTGAGGAGGGTGACCAGGAGGAGGAGCAGGAGGAGGCCGCAGATGAGGATGAGGATGTGGACAATGGCAGTGGACCGTATGATGATTACGGTCCATTCAGTCAGAGGGTTGATGACATGTACGAGACACATATGGTGGAGGTGCGTAAGGGTAGGGGTGGTAGGTTTGTTAGTAGATCTGGCACATCATCTGCGTCCACTGTATCTGGGGCAAGCAGGAAACGGTCGAGGGCCGGTAATGATTCTTGGGTTGTTAGGAGTGAGGTGCCCGGTGGGCCTGTTGACGGGAGTGTGATTCCTAGCTTTCTAGGACACATAGCTGCCCGTATTTGGGAGGACCAGGAGAGGCCTTCAGTTATGGGGTTGTTGAAATGTCATACCCGGGAAAAGACTTGTAGCTTTTTGCGTACATGGGCTGAGGCTTGGCCGGCGGAGAGCGAGATGTTCGAGCGACTGGAGGGCACTGGGGTGAATCACGTTCTTGCCACCATGCACGATAAGATTGACAGTACGCTGATCACGGCTTTCATTGAGCGATGGCAGCCGGATACAAACTCTTTCCACCTTCCGTTCGGTGAGATGACGATCATGTTACATGACGTCGAGGCCATTCTGGGGATTCGTGTTGAGGGTAAACGACTTTGTGCTGTGGCTGATGCGGATCAGGCAGATTTGCTGGCGGAGTTGTTGGCGGTGGACAGGGCTGCACTGTACACCGAGGCGCTAGGTGTTTGGGAACACGGAGGGTGTGAAGATCGCATCCGTGTTGCAGCGGTGTTTGTACCCCAGTGCACGTAGGACGCACGACGCACAACTGAGTGCTTATGTTTTTCTATTCCTCGGATGTACCTTGTTTCCGGATAAGAGCAGCGGAAACAAGCTCAGGCCACGCGACATAGTGGAGGCGTGTGACCCCGACAGTGTAGGCCAGTTTTCCTGGGGATCGGCTACGTTGGCGTATTTGTATCGCCAACTAGGATTTGCGAGTCGGGCTGACGCGGCAGGTATCACTGGGTGTCTGACTCTATTGCAGACCTAGATATACGAGTACTTTCCTGCATTGCGACCACATCGTGACCCAGTTCCTATTGATGAGGATGCCGCGTGCTTGTGCGTGGAGTCCGCGCTCGGAGAAGAAGTCCGTTGACCGCCTCCGATCGATACGGTTATTGCTGGACAGGCTGTCCCCCTTAGAGGTAATGTTTATAAATTGTTTCTACATTTTATTATTTGCACATATTATATTCATGTTATTAAATTTTAAAACTATGTGCAGGTGAACTGGATGCCTTTCAGCCCGAACCCTAGTGTTAGGGTACCCAGGACCCTGTACACGGGACTCATTCAGTATCGTGAGATCGTCGAGGCGTACATGCCCCAGCGTTGTCTTCGCCAGCTTGGATTTGTCCAAGTTGTCCCCATGATCTCAACCAGTGGGAACTTGTACTTGTTTGTCTTGTACGTTGAGTCGATCAAAATCACAAATGGCCAAGACTTGATCATATCAGCACAATCAGGATGCACAAGGAAAAGATGAGTCACCTCCGCTGTATCTTCATCAGAATCAAACCAGAACAGGTAACCACGTGACTGTGCCTGGTGTAGCAGCTGCTGTATAGGGTTCCTTCCCTCTGATCGTTCAAACCTGAGTTGCTGTCTGACGTTGTAGATGTGTCTTCGGTTTGGATGGTCTTCTGGAAATTTCTCTAACACAGATGCTAATATTTTAGCAGGCTTGACTTGAGCATCACTCATTTCTTTCACAACTAGTTTCGCAGCAGGACTTAAGCCGCTCAGTTGTCGATGACCCTCTTCATATAATATCATATCATGGTTGTGATACCCCCATTTAGAGTAACCAATCACTTCCCAACCGTCACGACTCCGTAGTTGTCGAACCTTTACTCTGAACTCACACCCACAACCTTTCCGCTTTGTATCAAACCGAGTGGTTGTAC